AATCCTACTTCTGTAGTGATACTGCCTCGGAAACCCAAGGAGGGGTCGCTATGAGTCAGGGCCGACTCGACGGCACATAACAACAACAACAACAATGTAGGTAAATGACATTAGTTTAGAGATATAACTATGCTGTTGAATTCTGTGGCCACATTTAGACTACTTAGAAATGACACATTGGAACTCTTAAGGGGCTCATTCAGTTTACAGAAATATGATTTATCAAAAATTTGAGGAACATGTTCTCTGTCAAATAATAAGTGATCATCTAAATTTTCCTCAGATGATTCTATTGTGGAATAGAGTATGCTAAAATGAGTTACAAAACAGATGCAAATGTTTAAAAAGAATTAAATGTGAAGAGAGGACAATACAGAATATTTAAGAATATCACCAAGAGGTACTGGAATTACAGAACTGACAAATGGGAAAAAATAGGGTATGCAGAGCAATATGAAAATACTTTACAAGTGCAGCCCTGTGCTGAACCCCAGGACAAGCCCAAACACAAGCAACACCAAAGGCTTTGTGGATAAGTCTTGAGGGTCTTTTTGCCCAGGCTGGAAGTACAGGCTGCTCTCCCCAGTCATGGCCCCTGGCCCCTTCCAGAAATAGGTTCCTTCCTGCCCACCTAGTGGAGTCCTAGGAGTTTTTTAGACCAGCAAGCACTCACCCTGAATCGTGCCTCCAAGTCTCAGATTACTGTTTTTCCTGCCTCTAGCTCTGTGGTCTTTATTTCTCACTTGCACATTGCTTTTAAGCAAAGACACTCAGGTTCCACTCCCAGCTTTGCCTTTGAGCACCTGTGACAATGGGCAACTCCCTTTGCTCTCAGACCTTTGGTATCTCACCTGTAAATGAGACCATGAGCTCAAAAGCTCACCCGTTGCCACAGCCACACTGGCATATAGTGGCGGACTTGAGCATAAGCTATATGTACCTTTTCAACAGGAGGGAAACAACCCAGACAAACTAAAGGGATGGATGATATGTGTATCCCCTCCCCTAAATACATGTGAAAAAAAATTACTTTTCACAAGTTTAAATACTTTTCATTTCTAGTATTAGTGAATAGTATTTAGAACATAGGAAATAATAAATCCACATGTTATAAGGGCATAGCTGGAGGATTATGTTAATTCTGGCTGTCCTGTAGAGCATCCCTAGGGCTCAGCCACTATGATAGGAAACTTGAAAATGAAATGAGATCATACTGCAGCAAAGAGACTTGGAGAAGAGAAGGACACATAGCTATATAGGTTCAAGTATGTGAAAGGCTATCATGTAAAACTATAAGCAGACATTATTTTGTGTTGCGTCAGAGGGAAAAAAAACAATTGAAGGTTGGAGATACACAGAAAATTTCAGCTGTGGGTAAGAAGGGTTTTTTCCTAACAACTGAGTTTTCCAAAATTGCCTTGAGTGTCTAGTGAAATCGTGACAAAACCACAATCACTAGAGATGTTACTCAACCACTTCCTGTGGAAGTGTGTTTATTCATTCAACAAAGAGTTAGCTCTTATTAAATGCCAGGCTTTGGATTATAACATTAAATAACACAGGCACAGCTCCTATTTCCTTGGAGCTTTGGGATCCATGCACTGCCGTTGAGTCGATTCCAACTTATAGTGACCCCCATTGGGTTTCAAAGGCTATAAATGTTTATGGAAGTAGATTGCCTCATCTTCTTCCTATGGAGTGGCTGGTGGGTTTGAACCACTAACCTGGTTAGCAGCCAAATGCCTTATGGAGCTTTGGGAAGGGGAGGAAAAAAGGCAAAGAAACTTAAATTAAGAAGACAATAAACATGGGACTGAGAATATTGGAGGACTATTTTACATACTATGGATGTGCAGAAGTTAGGGAAGAACATTCTAGGCAGAGAGACTGTCAAGTGAGGAAAGATGTTAAATAATTAGTATGTTGGATTAAGATTATTTGAACCTCTCCCTCTTTAATTTTCTTCATTTTTTTATTTTAAAATCGTCTTTCATGTGGAGTTCTGTATGAAAAATATTCTATTAGGTTGTACCCTTTTGATCTAGAGAGATACTTGGAAAACAAAGGAAATCACAAACTTGGATGCCTTTTCCTCCTGAATTTTCCTGGTACCTCCTCATTCTTTCTGTTCTAGTCATTGATGTCTGTTTCACCCGTTAGGGAACAAATGGTCTCTTGTTCTGAGATAAACAGGAAGGTTATCTCAGTAAGATGGAGTTAGTCATTGCCTCTAGTATATGGATGGCTGCTGGTTGTGGAGACATTTTATAAATAAATATTTGATCTTATTTTTGTTTTACAGGAAGATGTTGGATCCAGGATTGTTATCATGTTCCAAGCAAGCCATGTTTCTTAACCTTGTGTACAAGTCTCTGAAAGCTGACATCGTGTTGCGCCGGGTAAAGGCTTTTCTGAAAAGGTTACTTCAAGTGACTTGTGAACACATGCCACCATTCATATGTGGAGCTTTATATCTTGTTTCTGAGATCCTTAAGGCAAAACCAACTTTAAGAAGTCAACTAGATGATCATCAGGTATATTTTACAATTTTTTAAATCATGGGGTTTTAGAATATATTGGTTTTATTTCCCTCTTTCAGTGGTGATAATGTCATTCTCTCGCTGGAGCATATAATCTATAGGTCTTGGAGTCTGATAGACCTGGATCTTGGAGTTTGATAGACCTGGATCTTGGAGTTTGATAGACCTGGATGTAGTCCCAGTTGCACCGATTACTGGTTGGGTGTGTTGCTTGACCCTTCCAGTGGTAATAAACTGCACAAATAACTCTGAGATTTTTTTCTAGTTGTTGTTGAGTCATTTCTGACCCATGGCAAGTGGATGTGTGTCTGAGTAGAACTGTGCTTCGTAGGATTTTCATTGGCTGATTTTTGGAAGTAGATCTCCAAGACTTCTGAGGTACTTCTGAGTAGACTCAAACCTCCAGCCTTTCACGTAGAAGCCAAATGCATTAACTGTTTGTATTACCATATAGTTACAGAAAGTTATAAAGCTGGTAGATCTCTGAAGTCTATTTCCTACATACTGATATGAAACTAATAGTAGCATCTGCTTCATAGGGTTATTTACTGAGCATTTTACTGTTATTAAGAAATATTTTCAAAGTGTGAGTAATTTATTTGAGGCTGATTGTTTTTAAGCAGTAGAGGCCCAAAGTCCCAGGGGTTCTTGGCCCAGAATTGTACCGTATTATGGGGAGCTCTGGTAGCATAATGGCTAGAGCACTTGACTGCTAACCAGAAGGCTGGCGGTTCAAACCCACCAGCTACTCCTCAGAAGGAAGGTTGGGCAATCCTACTTCCGTAGTGATACTGCCTCGGAAACCCAAGGAGGGGTGGCTATGAGTCGGGGCCGACTCGACGGCACATAACAACAACAACAACGTGTTTAGAGATAAGAAAATAGTCTCATCTTTTGTTCAGAATTTCATTGGTGGCCATCATTTTATTTTGATTAAAACTTTGTGGTGTTTTACCACAATTTAAATAAGCAAATCTTTTAAACTGTATTGCTTAATACATACCTCAGTTGATTAACCAGAATTATGAACTTTTTTTTGTTGTTGTTAGGAGACTGATGATGAAGAAAATTTTGTCGACGTAGGAGATGATGAAGACATAGACAAAATCGCTGATGCAGACAAAGACAGAGACATAGTCAAAAGAGTTGACACAGAGAAAACTGTGTCTGAAAGTAAAGAAGAAACTAAAACACCGGAGACTGCTTCCTGGGTACACTTTAATAATCTGAAAGGTGAGATTTTTTCATCTATAACTTAGATTCTCAACAAATTTTAAATAATCTTTATTCTCCTGAATTGTAAAATGAGGGAGTTTTACATTTCCCTTTGATATTAATAGAAGTTAATATTATATCCTTCTGGATATCCTAACTATTGCTTCTTTTAAAATGGCTCTTATAAGTAGATATAGTCAGGATCTTTGAAATAAATGTTTTGTATAGTAAGTCATTGATTTGTTTGACAGAACTACAGATAATAAAACAAACAGTTTTAAATAGTTTATAAATTAAAGAAAATGTCTTATTTTAGGGGGATCTCTGGTGGCATAGTGCCTAAGGCATTTGACTGCTAACCAGAAGACTGGCAGTTCAAACCCACCAGCCACTCCTTGGAAGGAAAATTGGGCAATCTACTTCCGTAGAGATAACTGCCTCAGAAACCCAAGGAGGGGTCGTTATTAGTTGGAACTGACTTGATAGCAGTGAGATTGGTTTTTATTTGTTTACCTTATTGTAGAACTGAGAACTCAGTGAGAGAACTAGACATTAGGTACACAGTAAATCATTTCCTTCAGCAACAAAGATAGTAAATTTATACCTTCTTTTACAGATTGAATTGTGTCCACCCAAAATATGTGTCAACATGGCTGTGCCATGATGCTCAGTATTATGTAATACTTCATTTTGTGACCTGATGAAATTATCTTATGTGTTGTAAAGCCTTACTCTATGATATTAATGAGGCAGGACACGATCTACAGGACCAGGTTGTATCTTGACTGTCTCTTTTGAGATATAAGGGAGATTAAACAAGCGAACACACACGGAGCACACAAGAAAAAAGAGGCAGGAGCAGAGCTTCCCCTTTGTATCTGGTGTCCCTACACTGGGAACCTTCTAACACAGGAGACAAAGAGCTGTTAACACCAGTGACAGTGAGAAACAACAGCAAAAGACAAACCAGTGAAGGCTCGGTGTGGGAACCAACCAACAGAGCAAGAGCTGAGTATCTTTGGGTAGGAGGCTTCCTGGTGAAGTGGCATTTATTGCAGAGCCAAAGAGTTTTGTAACACTTGTCCAAGCAGAGCAGAGAGGCTGAGGGCCAGACAGAGGCCTACCTGTAGACACAGAAGAGGCTGTTCTGATTGACATAAGCCATCCCCCAGAGCCAACAGAGAGAAAACCTTCCACAAGAGCCAGCATTCTGAATTTGGACTTCTGGCCTCTTAAACTTCCTTGTCAGTTTGTCATACTGTGGAATCATGTGTTGCTGTGACGCTGAAAGCTATGCCACCAGTATTTCACCAGCATAGTTATCCATGGTGAACATGTTTCAGAGGAGCTTGCAGACTGTTATAGACTAGGAAGGAGGACTTGGCAGTCCACTTCTGAAAATAATTGGCCGCTGTAAACCTTATGTATGCCAGAGAAACATTGCTTGATGTATTACTGAGAAACTTTACAAATAGCACTGAAACATTGTCTATATAGTGCTGGAAGATGGGCCCTTCAAGTTGGAAGGCACTCAAGAGTACAACTGGGGAAGAGCTGCCTCCTCAAAATAGAGTCAAACTTAATGATGTAGATGGAGTAAAGCTTTAGGAATCTTCCTTTGCTGATGTGGCAAAATTCAAAGTATGAGTCTAGGAAAACTGGGAGTTGTCAAAAAGAAATGCATAGACATCAGTATTCTTGGCATTAGTGAGCTGAAATGGACTAGTTTTGACCATTTTAAATTGGACAATCATATGGTCTCTTATAAGGAGCTCTGGTGGTTCTAAGGCATTTGACTGCTACCTAGAAGGTCACTGGTTCAAACTCACCAGCTGCTGTACAGAAGGAAGATGGGGCAGTCTACTTCCATAAAGATTTAACTGCCTTAGAAACCCAGTGGGGGACACTATGAGTCGAATTGACTTGATGGGCAGTAAGTTTGGTTGGTTGTTCATCTTATTTATTTATCTATTTTGGCAGTCTGTTATGCCAGGAATGAGAAAGAGAAATGACCTCGTATTCAGGGTCAAAAAGAACATTTCAGGATCTGTCCTGAAGTACAGTGCTGTCAGTGATAGGATAATACCCATACTCCTACAAGGAAGACCAGTTAATACAACTGTTACTCAAATTTATATACTAACCACTAAAGCCAAAGATGAAGAAATGGAAGATTTTTACCAATTTCTGTAGTCTGAAATTGACCAAACATACAATCAAATGTGTGGGTAATTATAGGTGATTGGAATGTGAAAATTGGAAGCAAAGAAGCAGCCTTGGTAGTTGGGAAATATGGCCTTGGTGAAAGAAGTGACCCTGGAAACTGCATGTTAGAATTTTACAAGACATTTTTATTTTTACTCATTCATTGCAAATACCTTTTTTCAACAACATAAATGGCAGCTGTACACGTGGACCTCGGATGGAATACACAGGAATCAAATCGACTGCATTTGTGGGAAGAGGTGAGGAAGAAGCTCAGTCTCATCAGTCAGAACAAGGCAAAGAGCTGACTGTGGAATAGACCATCAATTGCTCATATGCAAGTCCAAGCTGAAGCTGAAGAGTATAAAACAAGTCCATGAGAGCCAAAATATGACCTTGATTATATCCCTCCTGAATTTAGAGACCATCTAAAGAATAGATTTGAGTCATTGAAAACCAGTGACTGAAGACCAGACCAGTTGTAGGATAACATCAAGAACATCATACATGAAGAAAGCAAAAGGTCATAAAAAGACAGGAAAGGAGGAAAAGACCAAAATAGTTCTCAGAAGAGACTTTGAAACTTGTTCTTGATAGGAGATAGTTAAAGCGAATGTAAGAATGATGAAATAAAGAGTTAAACAGATTTCAGCTTAGCTTGAGGGTAAGCTTGAGATGACAAATTATTGTAAGGAAATGGGCATCGGACCTGGATTTAGAAAACCAAAAGCGAAGAATATGCTCAACATTTCTCAAGCTGAAAGAATTGAAGAAAATATTCAACCCTCATGTTGGAGCATTGAAGGATTTTACAGGCAGAAGATTGAACATTATGGGAAGCATCAAAAGAAGATAGAAGGACTACACAGAGTCACTAAACCAAAAAGAATTGGTTGATATTCAACCATTTCAGGAGGTAGCATATGATCAAGAACCAACTGTGTTGAAGGAAAAAGTCCAAGCTGCACTAAAGGCATTAGTGAAAAACCAGGCCCTAGGAATTGATGGGATACCCACTGAGATGTTTCCACAAACAGATGTAGTGCTTGGGATACTCATTCGTTTACGCCAAGAAATTTGGAAGACAGCTACCTGGCCAGCCGACTGGAAGAGAGCCATATTTGTGCTCATTCCAAAGAAAGGTAATCCAACTGATGTAGAAATTAACAAACCATAATAACACATGCAAGAAAAATTGTGCTGAAGATAATTCAGAAACAGTTGGCAGCAGTATAGTAACAGGGAACTTGCAGAAATTCAAGCCATATTCAGAAGAGGGACAAGGAATATCGTTGCTGATGGCAGGTGGATCTTAGCTGAAAGCAGAGAATACCAGAAAGATGTTTAGCTGTCTTTTACAGACTCTGCAGAGGAATTTAGCTATGCGGATCATAACAAATTATGGATAGCATTGCAAAAAATGGGAATTCCAGGTCACTTAATTGTGCTCATGAGGAACCCGTACATAGACAAAGAGGCAGTCATTCAAAGAGAACAAGGGCATGTTGCATGTTTTAAAATCAGGAAAGGTGTGTGTTGGGGTTGTATTCTTTCACTATACTTTTCTAATTGCTGAGCAAATAATCTGAGAAACTGGACTATATGAAGAAGAATGAAGCATCAGGATTGGAGGCAGACTCATTAATAACCTGCATTATGCAGATGACACACAACCTTGCTTACTAAAAGTGAAAATGACTTGAAGCACTTACTGATGAAGTCAAAGGCTGTAGTCTTCAGTATGAATTACACTTCAACTTTAAAAAATCCTCACAACTGGACCAATAAGAAATATCACAATAAATAGGGAAAAGATTAAAGTTGTCAGGGATTTCATTTTCTGTTCTGGTTACCTCATACCGCTCTGACAGGAATATACCACAAATGGGATGGCTTTGACAAACAGGAGTTTATTCTTAGAATTTGGAGGCTTAAGTCCAAGTTCAAAGTGCCAGGCTGTAGGGGCTGGGTGAAAGCCCCTCAAACTTTGGCTTCAGCTTTGCCTCCTGCTCCTGGCCCACTGAAGCTAGAGGCTTTTCTTCACTCAGACAGCTGCTGTCTGCTGAGACTGACAAGCCCAAGGTTGACAAGTAAAAAGGCACAGTCCTGCTGTTATCAAACCATACAGCAGGCCATTGAAAATCCCAGAGTCGGCAGAGTATGGCAGACTGCTGAACAATGACATGCTACATGCAGGGTTCAAGTGTGCCATAAGCTGGAGACCATTCCCCAAGGCTTCTCCTTATATACTGGAAGCAGACCACATCCCTAAGGCAGCTACTCAGCTGCTCAAGGTAGATTCCACCATGGAGTTGATTACCAGTCTCATTATGGGGAATACTACATCTAGCTGTCTAGCCACTCAACCAGGCCCAGCCAAGGCAACACACAAAGTTCACTATTAAATTTTCCTTGGATCCACAATCAATGCACATGGAAGCAGCAATTGAGAAATCTGGTGACATTTGCACTGAGCAAATCTACTGCAAAAGACCTCTTTAAAGAGCTGTTGCACTGTGGTAAACTGTGGTCAATGTCATGAGACAAAGTATATGTAAACTGCTGTATGGAAAGGGAATTTGTTCTGTAAATCTTCACCCAAATCACAATTTTTTAAAAAAAATGTATAAAATTAAAAAAAAAAAAAAGACTTCTTTAAAATGTTAAAGAGCAAAGATGTCACATTGAAGACTAATGTGTCTAACCCAAGCCATGGTATTTTCAGTTAATTGCCTCATATGCATGTGAAAGCTGGACAGTGAATAAGGAAGGCTGCAGAAGAATTGATGCATTTGAATTGTGGTGTTGGTGAAGAACATTGAAAATAGCATGGACTGCCAGAAAAATGAACAAATCTTCCTGGCAGAAGTACAGCCGGCATACTTCTTAGAAGCAAGAATGGCCAGACTTCATCTCACCTACTTTGGTTCTGTACTCAGAAGGGACTAGGGCCTGGAATAGGATATCATGCTTGGTAAAGTAGAGAGTCAGCAGAAAATGGGGAAGACTCTCAATGAGATGAATTGGCATAGTGGCTGCTATGATGGCATCAAGCATAGCAAAGATCCTGAAGATGGTACAGGACCAGACAGTGTTTCTTTCTGTTGTATATAACGTTGCTGTAAGTTGGAATGGACTCAACAGCGCCTAACAACTACCAGCTGTGAGACAATGCATTTATATTTGTTAAAGCCACCCACAAGTGCTTTCATGGGAGCTCTGGTAGCATAGTGGCTAAGGCACTTGACTGCTAACCAGAAGGCTGGTGTTTCAAACCCACTAGCCACTCCTCGGAAGGAGGGTTGGGCAACCTACTTCCGTCGTGATACTGCGTCAGAAAGCCAAAGAGGGGTCCCTATGAGTCGGGTCCGACTTGAGGGCAAATATCAACAACAACAAAGTGCCTTCAGGTAACTAAGACAATTTAGAAGCAATTTTAGCTTCTTGACCTTTATATATAAAGGCTACACACACTGCAAACATATGGAGACATTCTGTGTGGTATATGTCGAAGTTTGACCTATACACAAAAGTATTTGGTTGTATATTGTGAATAGTATAGAACTTCTGATTGTTTGATCACTGTATTCACCTTCTACAACTTCTTAAGGATAGAAAGCCACTTTAAGTGATTTTTCATCCATATACACAAAGTGAATTAAATTTATCAATAGAATGGGAGAGCTGAAAGAAATCTTAGAAATGCAGCCTCTTCATTTGAGGCTGTTAAAACAACCATAACACAATACTAGCCTTAAGAATCAAGAAATGTGGTACCAGTCTCATTTCTTCAAACTTGTGGGACTCTTGGCCAAATTAGTGAATATCTCGAGGCTTTGGTTTGTGTGTGAAATGTAAAAGAGGATTTGGTAGCCTCAAGGATTTTTTTTAAAAAACAATCCATCAGTTGTCCTGATATCTAGACTAAGATAAAGACAACCTGGAAAAGGACGGTTGGGTGATCTACTTCCATAGTGATACCGCCTCAGAAACCCAAGGAGAGGTCACTATGAGTCAGTGAGTCAGATACAACTCTATGGCAGTGGGTTTATTTTTTTTGGTTTTAAAGCTCCAGCAAACTTTAGATCTATTCCATCTTCAGTGTATTTGCCATCTTCACATGGATGGCCTTGTTGTTGTTGTTGTTATGTGCCGTCGAGTCAAACCCGACTCATAGCGACCCCTCCTTGGGTTTCCGAAGCAGTATCACTACGGAAGTGGGATTGCCCAACCTTCCTTCCGAGGAGTGGCTGGTGGGTTTGAACTGCCAGCTGTCTGGTTAGCAGGCAAGTGTCTTAGCCACTATGCTACGGATGGCCTTATCAACCCCAAAACAGGCACTCTTTGTTGCTATTTGAAAAAATGAATTTTTGAAGCATTTAGTACTTAAGATAGACACACTGCCTGTTTCTTTAAGAGCAAATTCTTGAAATAGATTTAGGTTAGAGGTAGAAATAGCTTAGAGCTTTTCATCTAGGTAGGATTCCTGGCTAGCATGTTGAAAATTATATATATATTTGACATTAATGGTGGCTTTAGGGACTTCTTGGGCTAGGAGTAAAACATTTGAAAAATACCTTTTTATTTTCCCCTCAGGTGGCAAACAGTCAAATACATATGATCCATTCAGTAGAAACCCATTGTTCTGTGGAGCTGAGCACACAAGTCTTTGGGAACTCAAAAAGGTAAAATAATTTCCCATTGTCATTTAATTCATTTGTGCTGTGTATATGCCCTTACGGTTTTAGCATCTTGAAGTTCTCATTTCTCTTATAAATGATAAATAAGCTGATATATTGCTTGTGTGTGTGTGTGTGTGTGTTTGTGTGTGCTTAGATTTTGTCCCACATTTTTCTTCCCACTCTATCCAGGATCTCCAGTTTGGATCCTCTCCCAAGTGGTTGGCATTGGTAGCTGGGCACCATCTAGTTCTTCTAGTCTCGAAGTCCATCATGTCCTAGGACTGATTGCTTCCAAATGACCTTGGGTTGTTTTTGGTTTTTTTTCCCCACTCTTCTTCGCTTCTGATGATAGGAGACCATTAGCTGCATCTTAGATGGCTGCCTGAAAGATTTTAAGACCCCAGTCGCTACTTATCAATGTAGGTGGTAGATTTTTATGTATTTTATTGTGCCAATTGAGTCTGTTGTCCCCCAATACTATGGTCCTGAGTCAGCAGATCCATTGGATCTCTCTCCTACAGTGTCTGGCTGTCTGTGAGGGATTACTCTATGTCTGTCTTCTGTTTTATTTGTAAGGATTGGGAGTATTTTGTGTCACTGGTGTCTGTGCAAGATTAGCCTCTGCTGAATCTATCCTTGGTCTAGATTACAGTCCTGTTCACTGACCCCCATCTGATCTTCTCAGATACTTATGTGTTATCTGTAGCCTGGTAATGCAGTATCGTGGATATACTGGTATTAGCCTCTGTCGTTTATACCTTATGTGTACAATTCGGTGTCCTCTCTTTTCCTAATGTTATCATTGTGGTCACAGACTCTTTCTATACCATCCCTCACCTTACCCATGTCAGCATGTGGCTCCCAATGGCCCCAAAATTAATCCCTCCCCTTCCCTTCCTACCCCAGTAACCTACCCCAGTAAGTGAATTCCCTTAAGCAAATCCTTTTTTTTTTTTTTTTTTACAGTAATGGGTTCATACAATGTTTGTCCTTCTGCAGTTGACTTATTTCACTTATTTCACTCAGCATGTTGTCCTCCAGGCTCATCCACATTGTGAGATAATTCATGTATCCTTCATTGTTCTTTAACGTAGCATAGTATTCCATTGTGTGAATGTACCATAATTTGGTTATCCATTCATCCTTTGATAGGCATTTATCTCTTTGTTACAGTGAATTGTGCTACAGTGAACATAGGTGTGCATATGTCTGTTTGTGTCCTGCCTCTCACCTCTCTAGAATATATTCCTAGTAATGGAATTGCTGAGTCAAATGGTATTTCTATTTTCAGTTTTTTAAGGAAATGCCATACCATTTGCCACAGATGGTTGTACCATTTTACAGTCCTACCAGCAGTGCACAAGAGTTGCAATCTCTCTGCAACTTTGCAAGCATTTGTTATTTTCTGTCCTGTTGAACTTTGCTGTTATTGCTGGGATGAGATGATACCTTGTTGTTTTGATTTGCATTTCTCTAATGATTAAAGATCGTAGTCAATTTCTCACGTGTTTGTTGGCTGCCAGCATATTATCTTTAGTGAAATGTCTGTTCACGTCTTTTGCCCATTTTTGAATTGGGCTATTTGTCTTTTTGGTGCTGAGGTGTTGAAGTTTTCTATAGATTTTGGAGATAAGTCCTTTGTCGGATATGTCATAGGCAAATATTTTCTCCCAATCTGTAGGTTCTCTTTTTACCCTTTTGTTGAAGTCTTTCAATGTGCATAAGAATTTAATTTTTAAAAGGTCCCAGTCATCTAGCTTCTCTTCTACTTCCTCTGCATTCTGGGTTATGCTTGATAGTCTATTTATGTTGTAAATTAGGGTTCCTAGATTTGCCCCTATTTTATCTTTGGTGAATTTTATAGTTTTGAGTTTTATATTTAAGTCTTTGATCCAGGCTGAGTTTGTTTTTGTGTATGGGGTGAGGTGTGGGTCTTGTTTCATTTTTCTGGAAGTGGATATCCAGTTTTGCCAGCACCATTTGTTAAAGAGGCTTTCTCTTCCCCATTTAATGGGTTTTGGACCTTTGTCGAAGATCAGCCGTCCGTGGATGGATGGGTCTGTTTCTGGACTTTCGATTCTGATATATCGTTATTTAGACATTAGTTATCATAAGAAAGCAATGTGAAGTATGGCTGAAAGCTGTAATGCTTTAAAATCCATAAAAATAAAATCACATTAAATTCCCACATATGAGGGGAGGATACTGTATGTGGTGTTCATTTTGTAGAAAATATTGAATCTAAAATATGCATGGCAAAAAAAAAAAAAGAAATGAAATGAAATTAGATGTCATATTGCACTGGACAAATCTCCAAAAGACCTCTTCACAGTGTTAAGGAGCAGAAATGTCACTTGGGAGGACTAAGGTGCGCCTAATTCAAGTCTTGATAGTTTCAGTTGCCTCATGCATGTGAGAAAAAAGAAATAAAAAATGTGCATGGCTATAAGTGAGTAGTCTTTTATAGACGGATAATTACATCTAACAGTTTTGTAAAATGGGTGAATTTTGCTTTATGCAGTTGGTATCTCTGAAAAGTTTCATGTCAGTAGAATCTTTTCACACGTAAAGTTACTTTTTAAATTCATCAAAAGAACTCATATTTTAAATAATCTTTCTGTGATGTTTTTGAAAAGCATCTAAGTATATTCCCATGCAGCCGTTCTCAAATTGTGGGGGCACAGACGCTGTGGGGTCCTTGACACCCTTTTAGTGAGTCTGCAAGGTGAAAACCATTCTCATAATAATACCAGTACACAATTTGCCTTTTCACTATATTGACATTGTTGTTGTTGTTGTTGTTATGTGCCGTTGAGTCGGACCTGACTTATAGCAACCCCTCCTTGGGTTGCTGAGGCAGTATCACTACGGAAGTAGATTGTCCCATCTTCCTTCCGAGGAGTGGCTGGTGGGTTTGAACCGCCAGCCCTCTGGTTAGCAGTCAAGTGCCTTGAAAATGGTACTAATGGAATAGAGGAGACAAAGGGTAGAACTGCTGGTACCTTACCACCAATCATCACAGTGGCACCAAACTGGTACCTGTTAGTCTTTAGCAGCACATGCTCCCGATTTAATTTTAAAAAACAAAAAAAAGCCAGTATTACTTAAGAATGGTAAAGCAGAAAAAAATTGTTGATTTTATTTCTCTACCTACAGTACACTTCTCTTTAATATTCAGTATTTATATATGGCAAGTGTTCATGTGTCAATTCTGTTGCATACCTAAGGATGTAGTCTCAAGGAAAAGCTCTTGTGTAGTTGTTGTGAGCTCAGCTAGCAACTTTTTTTCATGAAAGAATGACTGACAAACTGTAGTTATTCAGATGTGGGTATTTGGAAGATATTTTCTCAAAAATAAATGAAGTGAGACTGACACTTCAAGGTAAACAACTGACAGTATTTGTTGCCAATGGTAAAATTTAAGTTTTCAAGAGAAGATTAGAATTTTGTGGAAAATTTGTATCCACCACCTTGTGTTTTGACAGCTTAATAGTTAAAGATGTGTCTGATTAAATCAGTGATGGTATTAACAATGTGACAGTTTGGGAAAAATAACAAAATGTGTCAACAGTTGGAAGAGCTGCATAATTCAGGGATTTTCCAAATGTCTGGCATTTGATGATACAAAGTCAGACATGGATAAAAGATCCACTCAAAGTGGACCAATGGATTTTAAGTAAAAAGTACAAAAGTTGATTGATATGGTTTCAGGTTCCATATTGCAAGTAATCTTTTGATTTGGGTGCAGTATTAAAAAATATCCACAGTTATCTGAAAGGCAATTAAGAAAGCTTCCTTTTTCCAATTACATAGCTAAGTGAAGCCAGATTTTCTTCAGATGCTTAAAGCAAAATAACAGAACACAAAGGCAAATATAAAAATCCAGCTATCAGACATTAATGAAATTTGCAAAATTATAAAATGTTATTCTTGTTACCTTTTTTGTTCTTTAAATTATAGTTCTTTTTCATAAAATGTGTTGTTTATAATAATATGTAATAGGCTTGTTTTAAATAATTATAAATATAAAATTTTTCCATTTTAATTTCTAATAATTTAAATGTCATAACCCTTAGAGTCCTTAATAATTAGTGCACAGAGGGATCCTGAGGCCAAAATGTTTGGGAATCATTATTCTAATATATTTGCTTTGTAAGTTTTAAATCAATGGATTTCTTTAAATCAATAATTGTAGTAACTGTTGAAACTAGAAATGCTGCAATTTTCTTTTCAGCTATCTGAGCATTTTCATCCCTCCGTGGCCCTTTTCGCAAAGACTATCCTTCAGGTGAGTCTAAATATTAACAAGGTAAGAGATAAGAAGAAATAAATAAATTAAATTCAGATGACAATTGGTCATACAATGTTTCCTTCCCCAAATAGAATTATAGATGCATTTGCTGCTTTTGTAAAGGAGCAGTAGCTTGTTTAATACAGAGCAACATATAATTCTTCCCACTCTGAGATGAATAGAAATACAGAACAATAGGAGACCACAGCACATTTTGGCTTTGCTCCTGAGGAAAGATTGCCCTTCTGTTCCTGATGTCATGTGCTGTTTGACACTTCAGGATTTGGATCCTGGTTAATAGTTAGATGACCAACAGTATTAGTATTATTTACCTATTCATAAGATCAGTAGTGTATCCAGAATGTGTGTGTGTTTAAATTTTTCATGTAAAGTATGTGCATAAAAGGAATCTTCTCTTTTTTTTTTTTATCTGATTGCATGTATGTAATTTGAGTTCAGTTCAGTCCTTAAATCTTATCCCCCCCTTTTCAGGGAAATTATATTCAGTATTCAGGGGACCCACTGCAGGATTTCACACTAATGAGATTCTTGGATCGATTTGTGTACCGAAATCCAAAGCCACATAAAGGCAAAGGTATGCTTCTGTGTAATTAATTTTATGGCTTTCATTGTTAATGTTTTTTGAAGAATATAAGAATATAACTAGAAATTTATATTACAATGTTGATTTTATATTTCAGAAAACACAGACAGTGTTGTGATGCAGCCAAAAAGGAAACATTTTATAAAGAATGTTCGTAGTCTTGCTGGTAAGTATAAAGCTTAAGACAGTTAAACTGAAAAGACAGTACCAGACAGTAACAAATAGAGTTACGTTATTCTCTGCTCCACTTTATCAGAATAAACCTGAGCAACAGCGACATATCATCCATCTTTTGTTCTCAAAAATGTGTTATGTATTCTTGAGCCTACTATATGTCTAACTGGGCTTTTTCTTTTCTTTTTTTTTTTTTTTAATTTTACTATGGAAAATTCCAAACATCCAAAGTAAATAATATGATGAACTCCTGTCTACTCATCACACTGCTTCAACAAGGCTCAACATTTTGCCATTTTTATATCATCTGTAGCTTCATCAACAAGCCTCCATGCACAATTCTGTCTTACAGTTCAGACCATCGCTTAAGCTCTCTAATATGGATTGAGCAGAACAAAATTCTGTAACAATTCATTTTGTCGTGGAGCATCCTTTTAAATTTAGTTAGTAACCTGTTTCTATGGGCATTTGAACATAGTACCCATCTTGTGGAGCTAATTACCTCTTTTTCTATTCAGTATATACATTTCTTTGCATACCAGATCCCAAGTCCTTTTCTCCTTTTTCAGAGTTTAGGATTAAATTAAACCAAAACCAAACCCATTGTTGGCAAGTCACTTCTGACTCATAGCGACCCTATAGGACAGAGTAGAGCTGTCCATTCGGCCATAAATCTTTACAAGAGCAGTCTGCCGCATCTGTCTCTCAGACTGGCTGGTGTATTCGAACGCCACCCTTTCAGATCACAGCTGAGCACTGCGCCACCAGGATTCGTAGGGTTAAACGAAACGGTATAAGTCATCTGGTCTCCAGCTGACTTCACAGAGGTCCAGAGAGGTACAAGGCCTTTACCCAGAGTCAGTAGACTTAGTATTAGAAGCAAAATTCCCTTTTAATAAAGTTAAATTGGCAATTGGTTTATTCTGAAGAAGGAAAACTAATATTCTCTTCTTAGTTATTCTCAGAATTAAGTAAAACTATGGCTAATCATTTTATTATTGTCACTTTTCTGATTGAAAATAAGTCAAAAGTAGTTATTTATTAAAGGAACCCTTTTATTAAGGAATGAGTACCAATGTGGCATAAACACTTAAGCGTTTCATTGCTAACCAAAAAGTTGGTGATTCAAGTTCACTGAAAGGCACCTTGGAACAAAGGTTGGCAATTACTGAAAAATGAACCATTGAAAACCCCCAGTTCTACTTTAATACACATGAAGTCATGAGTTGGAATTGACTTGACAGCAGTTGGTTTGGCTTGGCTCTATTAAGGCTGCAGTTGGAGGACAATGAGAGACCTTATTCTGCCAGTGTGAGTTGCACTAATAGGTGTACACTGCCTGCTCAACTAACTGGCTAGTATGGCAGCTGATGAATTGTTTCAGATGGTAGGATCTTCCCCACATAGGCTTTTCCCAGTAGTTGTCTTTTACACTGTAGGATGCCTTCTGTCCGTGTTGCTAATATTCTGAGACTGTAGAATTGCAGGCATTCTGTATTTATTCCTAAGACTTTGAATAACATAAAAAGGATTACTTGAACAAATTAACATTTTTAACTCATTTGTTTTCTTAGTGAACAGTAAGGAATTCCTTGCAAAAGAAGAAAGCCAGATACCAGTGGATGAAGTGTTTTTCCACAGGTAATAGTTTTCTTTGGGAAACTATTAAAATCTAAAATTTGTTTCTTTAAAATGCTTCATTACCATAAGCTTATCTTGAAAAGGTCAGAAGCTATGTCACACTATCAGTTTTTATGAAAGGAATTTATAAATCATTCATTTTGCTAATCTTATTTAAACTATATAAGTGAAAGTAAAATGAAATTGGGTACATTTTTAACGATTTCACATAAAAATTTTGTTTTTTTAATCTTGGCCTTGTGGAAATTAATCCTTAATGTGTTTTTTTTTTTTTTTTTTAAGTATAGTAATTTTCTTATAGACTTAATAAGTCTGCATTGTTGTTGTTGTTTGCCATCGAGTCAGCCCCGACGCATAGCGACCCCTCCTTGGGTTTCCGAGGCAGTATCACTATGGAAGTAGGATTGCCCAACCTTCCTTCCGAGGAGTGGCTGGTGGGTTTGAACCGCCAGCCTTCTGGTTAGCAGTCAAGTGCCTTAGGCACTATGCTACCAGAGCTCATTAGTTTAATTAAATAGCTCATGAGTAATTTGTCCAAAACATGATCCTTAGAGCAAAATTAGCAAATTCTTTGGGCTGCTATGGGAATAAGTCCTAAGCCTACTAGGTTTACTGCTAATGTCTTATAGTTTTAAAGCAGGTACTATCTCATCTGGTTGACTAGTTGGGTTTGATTTGTTTTGGTGTTTAAAAACATTTTGTGTAGAAAATTTTGAGGGTGTGATTCCATCTGCAAAATACTAAACTTCACTGTACCCTAATGTCAGACACAGGCTGTCTGGTGAAAAAAAAAAAAAAATTACTGTGATTTGAGGCCATTTAGAGCTACATTTTATAATACTTAGTATCAGGAGTATTGAATCTACAACTTTTTACCATGCCATTTTGATTAAGATGAGTTGTGTGTTTTAATAAAATAGTTTTTATAAGAAATTTAAATCTTTGAGATTTACTACACTTCACAATTTAAAAGTTTTGTTGAATTCAAAACTGTTTTTTATATAATTATAGTTTTTAGTCCTTTTATAGCCATTGAATATGCTGAACAGCCTTTAATTGTGGTTTCTGTCACTGGTTGTAGTTGCTTTGATGATAGTGAGATGGGTCCTTAATAGAGATACCAAATACATGGCATGCTTTTTATTTTAGGTATTATAAAAAACTTGCTATTGTTAAAGAGAAACAAAAACGGCATACAGATGAAGAAAGTATAGAAGATGTAGATGATGATGAATTTGAAAATATGATTGGTAATTTGTTTTTGTTGTCACTATTTGTTTATAGACCATGGAACATTACTAGTGATGGTTGTTAGATGCTGTCCATTTGGTCTGACTCAAAGCGACCCCATGTACAATTGAATGAAATACTGTCCGGTCCTGGGCCATCCTCACAGTCACTGCTATGCTTGAGTCTATCAGTGTAACCACTTTGTCAGCCTATCTGTTGAGGGGCTTCCTCTTTTTCACTCATTCTCTGTTCTACCAAGCATGATGCCTTTTCTAGGGACTGGTGCCTCCTGATTACATGTCCAAAGTATGTGAGACAAAGTCTCACCATCCTTGCTTCTAAGAAGCATTCTGGCTGTACTTCCTCCAGGACAGATTTGTTCATTCTTCTGTCAGTTTATGGTATATTCAGCATTCTTTGCCAACACCATAATTCAAATGCATCAATTCTTCAGTCTTCTTTACTCATTGTCCAGCTTTCACATGCCCATGAGATTGAACATAACACAGTGTATGTCAGTTTCACCTTAGTCTTTAAAGTAGCATCTTTGTCCTTAAAGATGGTCTTTAAAGAAGCCTTTGAAGCAGATTTGCCCAGTGCAATACATCCTTTCATTTCTTGACTGCTGCATCAATGGGCATTGACTGTAAATTTAATTAGTAGCAGAAGTAACCTTAATTTTTCAAATATCATTTAGCTTAGGACAACATGCAGATCACAATAAATAATTAAGAAATACTGTGATGCTATATGGGAATTTGCCTGCATTTGCTCCAGAAAAATATGATTGTGCTTGGAGCAGTTCATGTGAGGAAAAAAAATTATTCATTGTTTATATTCATTTTTAAGGTTAAATCTCTTATAAAATAGAATCCAGTTTTGCTAGGGTTTTTTATTTTTAACATTTTTTTGTGCTTTCGATGAAAGTTTACATAGCAAAATAGTTGTCGTAAGTAATTCATACATAAATTGGACATTGGTTGCAATCCCTGCAATGTGTCAGCACTCTCTACTTTTCCTCCCCGGGTGTCCCATTTTCATTCATCCAGCTTCCCTGTCCCTTTCTTTCCTGCCTTCTCATCTTTGGTTCTGGCAGATGTTGCCCTTTTGGTCTCATTTTGGTTCTAAGGAGCACATTTCTTTCCATATGTTATTATTTTATAGGTCCATCTATTAATTGGCTAAAAGGTGGCATCTGGGAATATCATCAGTTTCAGATTAGAAGTTTGTGTTAGGGCAATAGTCTTGGTGATTCCTTCAGTCTCTTTCAGAGCAGTAAGTCTGATCTTTTTCTTTATTTTGTCCTACATTTTTTACACATTCTAATTGGGACCTTCTTATTGTGGTCCCAGTTGGAGTGGTCAGTGCTGGTAGCCAGGCACCATCTACTTCTTCTGGTCTCAGGTTAGAAGAGGCTATGTTTCATGTGGGCCATTAGTCCTTTGGACTCATTGCCTCCATATTTTGCTATTTCAAATCTCTTTGTACTGCTGGTGATGTAATCTGTTGTTTCATCTATTTACAAAAATTTAGAAATTTTAGAAAAATTTCTAAAAGTTAGAAAAATTTTAATTGAAAGTAAATAAAACAGCATGGGCAGTGAAAAGATAAAGTATGTATGAGATTTTAGTTTTGTTGCATATTATACTAAACCTGCTTAAATAGTCTTAATGGAGTGACAAAGGACTGCAGTTGTTAAGTATTTTATATTTACTCTCTTTCTATAAAAGGGTTGTAGAAAGAAGCTGGAATTAATTGGAATTCATGTTAGTTTACGGTTTTTATTAAGGCTAGTATGTTTACAAGCTTATAAACATTCATGTAAAACTAGCAAGGGTCACCTGTCATGTTAGTGTTTACTTATGATCAACAACAGAATCATAACTTAAAATAATTGATTCAAATGTAAGACATATGTGAATCTTGTTACTTTTTGCTTTAGCTCACAATTTATATATCTTCTCTGGCAGACACATTTGAAGATGATAATTGTTTCACCTCTGGAAAGGATGACCTTGATTTTGCTGGGTAAAATACTTTTCTTCAATCTTTACTATCATTTCAACTTGACTTTTTTCTGCCAACATTTCCCAAATTGGTATCTAATTACACTAGACCACAGGACTGTGTTATTCAAATAATTTGGGGAAGTGGAGACAATAGTTTCATTTTGGACCATTATATAATGCACATTAGCATATTAAATAAAGGCTCTCTGTGGTCTATAAGTCTTTCTCACTAAATCTCTTAATGGCCTGGTACTCTGAAGTCACCAAAATACACGTTAAGAAGTATTGCTCTTTTACATTACCATAGTTTTGTTTCGTTGTGGTTTTTTTTTCTTCAGCAATGTAAAAAAGAAAACAAAAGGAGCTAAGGGTAACCCAGAAGATGAAGATTCAGGAGGTAGTGATGACGACTTCGATAACCTGGATGATGACGAAGTTTCTTTAGGAAGTATGAATGAAGAATTTGCTGAAATTGATGAAGATGGAGGAACATTCATGGATGTATTAGATGATGAAAGTGAAGGTGTTCCAGGTAAGCATTTTTAAAATTATGATGATAGAAACAAATGTAAGATAGAAATAAACTGTCTTCTTTTCAATGTGGCCTGCATTCACATTAACATTAAAATTAGCCAGAAATTTACAGAAGATCTTATGGCCTCTCAGTTAGAACTGAAGATTTTTTTAAAAGAAACATAAGAGTTTTGTGTTTAAGCCTTTTTTACTTTAATCACCAATTAGCCTGCCATTGTGCATAAGACCTTTTCAGGTACAGCTGCCTTTTGTTAATGTTACAGTGGTAATTAGCAGTTTGAAAAAGTTAATATTCATCATCACTCTGTAGCATAAGTAAAGGCAGACATTTTATTTTACTGTGTAAATTAGCAAAGAACACCCAACATTGTGGCCTTGGACTGTTTTCGACCCTTTCATGTATCGGCATGTACACATACACCCTGGCACAACATCCTGTCCACTGGAACACAGCAGAAGTTTCTTGTTTTAAAATGTTATATTATTTTTTTCTTAATAAATGTTTTTAATTGTGTACTTACACAAAATATGGGGTTATGCCAATACTTAATTCTTAGGGCCTTGACCTTACTCTATCCTAAATCCTATGCTAATATAAAAATAAAACCCAGATGGTACAGTATAAACCAAAACCAAACCCCCAGCCATCTAGTTGATTCTGACTCATAACAACTGCCATTGTGTTTCCAGGGTGTTAAATCTTTCCAAAAGTACATTGCCCCATCTTCCTTCTGCAGAGCAACTGATGGGTTTGAACTGCCAACCTTCTGGTTAGCAGTCAGATGCCTTGGGCACCATGCCATCAGAGCTCCTTATGGTACAGTATATTTTCTTTAAAATTCTTATGTTTTTGTTATTGCTATTAATAGAACTTGATGAAGAAGACCACACCAAAGTCAGTACCAAGAGACAAAAGAGAAAAGGTGTCGATGATTTTGATTTTGCTGGGTCATTTCAAGGTAAGAAAATGTATTTAATCTCTTTTAAACCTGAAACATTGTCCATGTGAAAGGCACTTTCATTATCATTTTGGAACATGAACATTTCTAAATTGGTTAGTATAAATCAGTTCTCTTTTTTTTTTTTTTTCTTTGAGAACTTGGAATATACAATTCTAGTTTATTTTTTTTTATTTCCCACATTCAGTTATTTTCACTTGTCCTTTCGTCTCATGTTAAAAAATATCTCTAAATCATTTTCTTATTCATGGTGAAGCCATTCATATGTGTAAGCTCCAGATTTTCCTATAGAGTACCTGTGTCCTTAATTCAGCCAAATCTTTATTTTTGTGACACAACCCTTTTAAAAATCTATGCTTTTATTAACTTCATTTTCCATTTTTTTTTTTTTTAATTTTATTTTTATTTGATTGATTGATTGAGATTTACAAGTTTGCTGCCATGATGCTTTGAGATATTTTGGCTTTTAGTTTAATACTCATAAGGTCCCAATAAAAGAAAACAGTATTATGTCAGGTAACAGTTAAGTTTTTGATAAAAATGTAGGAAGCTCTATAAAAAATGATGATTCCTTATTCTATAGATTACATTAGGATTCTTGGAGTCTTTTTTTTTTTTTAAATCAATCTTCTAATGCCTCTCTGATTTCTGCTTACTGATAAATACTAATGAAGAATGAAAATAGAATTGCAAAGTTATCGTAATTTACATGTTGATAATATCTCAGACTTTCATACCTGTAAGTTTTTATAAGTTCTTTCAAATAACGTTAGCAATATCACAGTAAAAATGTGTCCCCGATAGCTAAATGATGTAACAAAAGCATATTTAAATTATACATTATTTCAGATGTTGTCTTCCTTTGCATGTAAAATAACATTTTAATAACAATATATTCTCAAATACAATGTATAATTTTCCTCAAGATCTTTGCTCAGAAAAGAAGTATTGCTTACCCTGAAGTCCTGCTAAGCCTGTTATAGATACTCTCTTGAGGACCTTATTTTGAATGAAATACTCTTTCACAAGACATAATTAGGCTGAAAGGATCTCAAACTTTAATCAGTGCTGACTTTGGATGTTGACAAAATTGATTAAAACAGAAAAAGAGACAGAAATTTCAAACAGATGTATTACTTGATCCTGGGGGGTATGACCCTACATCTGTAGACACTGAATGCTGTTATAAAGAAACCTTAAAGAAACTTTTAAAAAGCAGCATAGTAAGTGCTTACTCATTGAGGTCACATTATTTTCCTACAGAATGAAAACCCTAAAACCTGTCCTAATGCTATGCTTAAATATTCAGTAACAGCATCATACACAAGGTCTTAAATATCATATTACTTTAATAAAAATTAAGATGAAATGCTTTAGATACTGTTTCTCAATAGTAGGTCTGGCATGTCCACACAAATAACAATTGTGGCAGCATTGTTTATAATTGCCAAAAGGGGGGAACAACTCAAAAGTCCATTAGCTGATGACTAGATAAAATGTGGTATATCTGTACAGTGACTCAGCTATAAAAAGGAATGAAGTCATTGCTTGATACAACATGGATGAACTTCAGAAATATACTAAAGACAGGTGTATTTATAAGAAATATCTTTAAAAAAATAAATCTGTGGAAAGAAAGCAGACTAATGGTTGGGGGAGGGGCGTTACTGAAAATGGGCATGGGGGATCTTGTTGGGTGATGCAAACGTTCTAAAATTGGGTTGTGGTGATGGCTAAGCAACTCTCTAAATTTTCTAAAACTTACTGAAGTTTACACACTTAGAACAGCTGGATTTTCTGGCATGTAATTAATCTTCAGTAAAATTATTTTTAAAAAAGAGCACTTCAGCCAACAGAAAAAAATGAAAGTGACTTTAGTGGTGCCAGAGACTGATGTCAAAGATGCAAAGAGTTTGAGTAATACTATTTTCAGGAAAAATGGGAATAGATAAAGGCAGTATTTCTTAATTTTTACATAACATGACTTTAAATATGTATAAATTAAGTATTATAAATACACATTCTACTACTTTTTATCTACATTTCCAAAGGTTTATATATTCAGAATTGTAGGTAAGTGCAAAAAAAACGTGGCAGCAGCAGCATCTGACCTCTTCTAACTTTACTAGGGGGAGAACAATCAAGATCCACAGCCCACGGGTGACTCCTGTGGGGCAGAGGTCAGACATGCCACTGTCCTCCAACCTCTTCAATTCTGACACTAGCCGTCCCTTTCACAGAACTCTCTACTCTGCTGGGTTCGATAATTTGTTGTAGTGGCCACACAGAACTCACAGACAACACTCATTATTATAGGGTTTATTAGGGAACTAACAGGTTACAATTCAGGATCAGGAACTTTTAGGATACAGTTCTTAGAGCAGGACAGCCTCCCCTCAACCATGCCCGAAGGCAGGTCTCTCTCTGGCCCTTGGCCCCTCTGCCTTGCTCAGGCACGTGTTACAAAGCTTTCTTAGCTTTGCTGATAGGTATCCAGAGAGACACCCACCACTGTCTTGTGCCAGTCTTTTGGTACCATCTCATCAATGTTACAGCTTTCTCTCTTGGGTCAAGAAAGTTCAGCACAGGGATCACAGGTCAAATGGATGCACTCCACTCACTCCTGGCTTTTATTTCTTGATGGTAGTAAGAGCTCCCTTTCTACCTTTGGTATGGCTCATTTTAAGCCTGGTGGGATGGCAAAACTAACCAATCCTGTTAGGGTTCCACAAACTTTATTTACACAATCCCACCCACACAAGGGTGCCGTGTACCATATGTACATTACTAACAAGCTGCCAATCCCCTTGGTAGGCCACAAGCCCCTCACGTTTGCATAGTTCCACCCAATCACCTGGTGGAAGTCACAAAGACTATGGCTAGGAGAACCGTATGAAGTAATTCATTACACCACAGTAATTTTAATTTCTTTGTAAAAGAACAACTTTGAGTAGTATAGCTAAAACTTCATTTATATTGTAACATAAAAAACTAAAACCCCCATGCTACTGAGCTGATTCTGACTCATAGCAACCTGGTAAGACAGAGTAGAACTCCCTCATCTTTCTCCCACAAAGTGGCTTGTAGGTTCAAACTGCTGACCTTTTGGTTCCCTGGTGAATGCTTTAACCACTGTGCCACTGAGTTCCTTATGACACACCTTCAAACAATTACTTCACAGTTAGTTCAAAGAATGACACCGCTCACTTAAGTTAGAATTTGCATTTTCCTTTAAATATGCCCAAGCCAATCTATGTAATAAGCTTTGGGATTTTAACCTTCCCTGATACTATGATTTTTCTTTTAAGGGTGATCTTGATCAGTGGCCAAATCTGAAAGGCAAGAAGACATTATTGTCATCTAAACAGTTCTCTTAGAATATTCCTTTAAAAAAAATACTATATACTAACTTGTATATTCTCTTTAAATGTCAGCTATTTAATGAGGCTAGAAGATAACGGCAGTTTTGAGTTTTAAGCCAAATAATATATTTTTTAACAAAACCATGTCGGAAGATGTACATTTTCCCATAAATTTACAATTAAATAATCTAGGCTTATCTCCTTCCCTCCCTCTAGGACCAAGGCAAAAAAAGAAAGGAAATGTCAATGACTCCAGCCTATTTGTATCTGCTGAAGAGGTAAGGTTAATGTACTACTTTAATAAGTTAACTATTCTACATTGTTTTAAGCTTTCTAATTTTTATTTATTTTTTTTAAGTTTGGACACCTATTGGATGAAAATATGGGATCTAAGTTTGATCACATTGGCATGAATGCCATGGCTAACAGAGACAACGCAAGTAAGTACCTTGAATTTTTAATGGAGGTCCTAAGTTAGCCTTGGCTTAGAACTTCTACAGATGGAAATATTCTTGGGGGCCTTTTATTATAGTATCTTTCAACCTGCTCTCAGACTGCGCAGAAAAAGGGATTAAAAAGTACTTTGAATACCACCTTGTGAAAGTAATATCGTATGAGTATGCCAAGTAAGGACATTTTAAATATTTCTCATATTGATAGTTACTAGTTTCAACTTTTTCCAACAGTACAACTGTTCAGGGCGAAAAAAATCTCAACAGCATTTGTTCCCTTCCTTTCATTGTCTTTTACACGTAAATCATTACTTTAGCACAATAAAATGATACAGAATAAAAGCAACAATTTTGTGTAGTGGGTGGGAAACAAGCTACAGGCCATGGCAGGCCAGGAGTTTATTTAGTCAGATATTCTGTGGGACTATCAATAGTCTACACTGAAGTGGGCTCATCTTTGCTCTCTTCCTGATAAAGGTCTCAAACAGCTCAAATGGGAGGCTGAACGTGACGACTGGGTACACAACAGAGATGTGAAAAGTATCATCAAGAAAAAGAAAAAGTTCAAAAACAAGAAGCTGAGAATGAGTCAGAAAACTAAAAAGCAAAGAAAATAGTGTTTTTAAATTAATTATGAATTAAAATTGTACTTACTCTTAATTTTTTGCTATTTAACCATTTTTCTTGATCTTGTGCTCTGATTCCATGCATTCCAGATTGTTCAATGGATTTGTAATAAACTATTAAAAAAAAGGGGGGGTGCCATTTTCAAAATCATGTAAAAATGCTATTAAAATTAAGGTATTAAGAAAAATCAGACTTTTTAGATTCCTACATGGTACAATGAAAAAGATGACAGTAAGATAAATAGTTAAGGTACAAGCTCTAGCCCCACTCCACTAATCACTGTAATAAACATTGTTTGTTATACTAGATACTATGCAAAGTAACTACACAATCCTTAAACTGACCTCTGAGAAAAATGGCAAGCCTGACTGAGACCACTTTATATTGTAAGCAAAGCTGCATCCCAGTCATGTCTCATCTCAGAGTGTATGTATGTTCTCAGCCAAAAGACTCAGAATCCAGCCCATTAGATAACTGTCTACAAATGATCATTTTCTCTACTGCATGGTCTCCCATAAGTTAAAATGGGGCTAAATAGTAGTGTTGGAGATTGACTTATCATAAAAGAAAAAACTATATTCTAGCTCTTAATCAACTGAGGATCTTAAAGAAATGACTACTTAATTATAGATTACCTTGTAAGGTTGTCTTGCACTCATTTTTAGGTAAGGGAAAACATACCTTCCAAGATGAAGGGAAATTTTTTGTTCATTGTTTGTCTGAAATCTGAGGGAAAAAGAAAACACACTTTAAAATTAGCCATGATCAGAGAAATTCATTATATTAACACACAGAGCCACAATTTAGGGTCTATACCATGGGAATAATAAAGATTAGAGGTTTGTTTAAGGTCCTTCTGATAATCCAGGAACCATCTCTTTTTGAAAAGGATCCAAATTGCACTTCCCTAATAGGTAACCTTACAATTATTTTGGAGTTTTAAATTTTTAGCCTGTATATATGGTATACAATTTATTTGGAAATTATATTCAAAAGCAAATTTTGAGTATTAGGGTGTAATTCCCTTATGTAATTTTATGAGTTGTTTTTATGGAAGCTGTTTTTCCTTGTTAAGGAATTTGAAATAAAATTGTACCATACACTTTTTGAAGTTGATACTAAGCTTTAAATTGCTTTTAAATGTTGTTTGCTTTCTTTTTACCTTTACTTAGAGATTAAAGTATAGAAACTTTGAAATGAGTATTCAGCAGTGTCCTGCTTCATAGTGTTCCAGTAAAGTACTTCAAGGAAGACAAGTGGCCTCTGCCCACTTCACTCCCCCCCATGGGCAGTTCTACTCACAAATACAGTCTTGACTGGAGGTCCCTTCCCTAAGCTTTGATGATGGCTGGCCATCATCCCAGGAATCTACTCTTGCTACCTAATGGAAAGAAAAAGCAGTACTTCCTAACTTATAAATTTGAAGGCTCTAATAAAAAATTTTCCCCACAAAATACAAAGACCTTCAGTGATAACCAGTGACACAGAAGAGAAAAAACTGCTAGCTTGAGAAAACAGGTTCCTTTGACTACACAGCTGTGGCACGTCTTCCTTTCTGAGACTCAACCATCAATGAAATGTTAAGGGCAGACCAAGTTTCTTCATCTGTGCTCCAAACTAAGCCAGAATAGATACTTGCTCTGTCCAACTCGACTAGTGACATTCATTAAGGTATGAAAACATTTCTCCTAGTCTACAAACCTGAATTAATTTTTTTAATAGAGTCACCTAATAATTAATTCCTGCTCTTCAGTACTCTTCCTGTGCCCATAAAAATACTTGATACACTGAATCTGAAAAAGCAACTTCTGTAAAAATGCCATTTAAAATGCTTAAGGAAATTAGACAGCCCTCTAGTAAATGTTAAATTATGAAATGATTACCTTGACTTGTGTTCATTTTATGAAACAAAAAATAAGCTCCAAAAACACCCAAAAGTTCAATTACTAAAACTCCTTTAAAGATCTTCTTTGCCAGTGGTTCCATAGTACGAGCCATCCTAAATATAAACAGATATGTTAAACTAAAAGTCATTCAAACTGTCATCAGCACATCTATAAAGATAATGTCAATTCACTCCCACAGTTTGCATGATTATCCATATAGGGATAACCAAAAAAAGAACTAGTGTGGATTCCAACTCCTAGCAATCCTAAAGGGCAGAGTAGAACTGCCCCATAGGGTTTCCAAGGCCGTGAATCTTTACAGAAGCAGACTGCCATATCCTCCTGCAGAGCAACTGATGGGTTTGAACTGCCCAACTTTTTGGTTAGTGGCCAAGTACTTTAACCATTGTGCCACCAGGGCTCCTTTTGTATAGGAATACAGCCCTGAAATTACTATTTATTTAATTGTATTAGACATGCCACAGAAACTGGTTTTTCAATTTCCTAAATAGTGAAGAACATACCTAACGGGCACAAAGGAACTAAAGGTACAAGACTGGCTAAAGCACAGAGAGGAAATCAAATTCAAGAAGGCATCATAAGAAGGGCAATGTACCAAATGTGAGTGACCAATATGGCAGCATTGAGGATGAGAAAGACAGAGAGAGTTACATGGGCAGTACAAACAACAAAGATGAACCCCTTTGTAAATACAATACTGAGTTGTCAATGAAAGCAAACATGGGTATAGGGACGGATAGATGGGTGAACAAGCTAAACAATTATGTATGTCTAAATGGAGAGTGTATCCAAGATCATATACAGGGTTGGCAGACAATGGGCCTCTCGAAGAGTATGAAGGGATGGACACTGGGAGGAGGTAACTATGGGGAGGAAGTGGGAGGGGAGCTGCTGCATTGTAAATTTTGGTCAATGACATGAGACAAAGTATATGTGAACTGCTGTATGAAAAGTGAATTTACTCTGTAAATCTTCACCCAAATCCTAATAAAAAAAAAAAAAAAAAAGGCATCATAAAAACAATTGATAAAACGAAGAACTAAGGTTTTAAAAGCAGACCGAAGAACAGTAGTAGATACATTAAATCATTTTTTTGGTTGAACTAGGCTCTTACTATGTGTACATTATGCTGGGCCCACTTCCTTTTAAGGGAGCAGAATAGAGCCATAGTTAAGAGTTCTGTGGTGACACATGTTGGGAGACTATCACACTTGGAAGATAATGCCTCCCCTAGAGCAAGAGATTTATAACCTTGAAAAGCCAGTGTCTACCTCCAGAGTAAACAGCAGGCATGCTTACTGTCCATTATGAAAGATTTAAGCTCTGGTGGCATAATGTCTAAGGTATCTGACTGCTAACCAGAAAGCTGGCCATTCAAACCCACCAGCTACTCCTCGGAAGGAAAACTGGGCAATTTACTTCCACAGAGATACCGCCTTGGAAACCCAAAGAGGGGTCACTATGAGTCGGAAATGACTGGATGGCAGTGAGTTTTAGTAAGTTACGAAAGATTTGGACTCCCTGGACACAGGGTTCTCCTGAAATGTGATTTGCTGAGTATGAAGCTGTCATCCAGTTCTCTTCAAGTCACACTGTGGGAACTAGAGCTTGGAAAACTGAAAGAAGTGCTAACCCTTTGGCTGTTGCTATTGGAAAGTTGGGCAATCCTACTCCCGTAGTGATACTGCCTCAGAAACCCAAGGAGGGGTCGCTATGAGTCGGGGCTGACTTGACGGCACATAACAACAACAACAACAATTGGTGTAATAAAGTCCTTTCTCTCAGACCTAGGAATCTTTTGTCTTCTACCTGCATCCATGAAATGAGCAGACTAATTTACTTGCTTGCAAATAGAGCAAAATTTCAGAGCCTTCTCAATTCTTAACAAAACCATTAAGTGAAACATATGTTGTTGTTGTTATGTGCCTTCAAGTCAGAACTGACTCATAGCGACCTATCCTTGGGTTTCCGAGGCAGTATCACTACTACAGAGGTAGATTGCCCAACCTTCCTTACAAGGAATGACTGGTGGGTTTGAACTGCCAGCCTTCTGGTTAGCAGTCAAGTGCCTTAGGCACTACAGCACCAGAGCTCCCCTAAGTGAAACATAAGAAAGCATGAATTTAATCATTTGTGAGTCAGCCTCACCACCACCACTTTGCCATTAACTTAATGAATGCATCACTCATTCTTGACAAATGATGGTAATAACTGATTAATTACGTGTTTCCTATGTAGCAGGCACTACCCAATGCTTTACATGTATACCTTGCTTAACCTACTAACAATCCCATAAAGTTTGGTAATTTACAGTTAGGAAATTAAGCCCAGAGAGGTTAAATAACCCAATCTTCAAATGGTAAAGGCAGGCTGCAATCAAGGCCATCTAACACCAGAAACAAAGTTCTTAACTACTATATAGTATGCTTCAGTGGGAAAAAATTTTCTGCATCTGTTTCCTCATTTGTAAAATGAAGGAATTAAACTAAATTGTCTAAAACTCAAGCAGCTCTGGTGGCATCGTAGTGCCTAAGGTATTTGACTTCTAACCAGAAGGCTGGCAATTCAAGCCCACCAGCCACTCCGTGGAATGAAGATGGGGAATCTACTTTCGTAAAGATTTACTGCCTCAGAAACCCAAAGGGAGTCTCTATATGAATTGGAATTGACTCGATGGCAGTGAGTTTAGTTTGGTTTTGTCTAAAACTCTCTTTCAGCTCTAACATTCAGTCATTCAAGAAATAATTGCCAAAAACCTACTCTGATGTCAAGACATATTTCCTTCCATTAAATGAGTGCAATGATGCCTGCTCAGTTTATCTCACAGGACTGTAACAACCAACCAGTGTCAATATGTGAAAGCTTTTGTAAAGTGCCCTAGAGTTGTTGTTGTTGTTATGTGCCATCAAGTCAGACACTAGGTTAGCAGTCTAGTTCCTTAGGGTTGTTTTTGTTTGTTATGTCTGAAGTTTTTCACTTATTTATTCAACATATTCATTGAATTATGTGCCAGCACTTTGCTAAATTTAGGGATATAAAGTGAGTGATAAACTTGTTTCTGTTCCCAGGGAGCTGTTATTCTAACAGAATTCAAAACCTTTCATTTGCATCACTCCAGAGGCTTGTTAAAACTGCATATTCCTTGGTTGCAGCTTGCAATTTCCCACTTCTTCCTGAACCCCTAGATTGTGATTCAGTATATCTAGAGTTGGT